GATGCTGCTGGAGGAATGGGTGCAGAATGCCCAGCAACCAGAGGGGCATCCCATGGCAGGGGTGTAAGTGAACCAGTGGTGGGGACCGGAGTGGGCCATCTGCAGGAGGCCAGGGCACGGCACAGCCTGTGTATGTAGCCCCAGGCCTGTTCCAGCGCAGCCATGAACTTGCCGTGGGACTTAGATCTTTCTCAGCCCTTGTCTAAAAGCCCCCACCTCCCCATCGGTAAACGGGAATAAATGGTCTCGAATGTTGCTTTCCACTTTCAGAAGCAGATGCCAGGCAATGGCACAGACTTGGCAGGAAGCAAAGAGACTTGGCTTTGAATCTCAGCTTCACCATTCTGGGACTCTGGGTGCCATGGGTTGAGTTGTGTCTTCCAAAAGAAGATACGTGTGAGCTCTAATCCCCAGCACCTGGGAATGTGACCTGATTTGGAGACAGGGTCTTTACAGAGATCATCAAGTTAGGCGAGGTCATTAGCATGGACCCTGATCCAGTCTGGCTGGTCTCCTTATCCAAAGGGGAAACGTGGACACAGAGGCAGGCACCCACAGAGGCAAGCCAATGGGAAGATGTGCAGGGAACGCCATCCACAGGCCAACAGTAGTGGCCTTAGCAGGAGCCGCCCCTGCCAACACCTGGAGCTCAGCCTCCCAGCCTCCAGACCCAGAGGATCAAACCTTCCCGTCGTTTAGGCCCCCAGCCTCTGGTGCTTTATATTTTTATTTTTTTTTAAGATTTTATTTATTTATTTGAGAGAAAGAGAGAGAGAGCATGAGATGGGATAAGGTCAGAGGGAGAGGCAGACTCCCTGCGTAGCTGGGAGCCCGATGTGGGACTCGATCCAGGGACTCCAAGATCATGACCTGAGCCGAAGGCAGTTGCTTAACCAACTGAGCCACCCAGGCGCCCCTGTGGTGCTTTGTTACAAGCAGCCTGGGCAGAAGCATACAAGGGACCAGGTCCCAGAGTTTCCCAAGGAGTGACATGGGCACAGTGACACCGGCCCTGCAAGCGTCACTTTAAGAATCCGGTATTTCGGCCCCTGACATTTGGTAATAAGCTTGGTGTTGGCAGTGGCTCTCATTGCCATGCTGTGCCCTCCAGTACCGCTAGGGGGCCTCCAGCGGAGGGCTGGGACCCAACAGCAAGGCTTTAAGTCAGTACCTTTCAAAGGGAGCTGGGCCACCCAAGGCACCCCTTCAGAAAGCCTCTCTAAATATGGTGAAGGCCAGAGAAATCACTATTAATGCAGTGCTTAATGGTTTCCAGCCAGAGAGTGGCCTCAGCCCTAATCGACAAGGTTGCGAAGCTGAGGTTTCTTTATTTTTATGTCCCGGGTACGCTTGGAGTATGTTGAGAAGCTGGGAATCAGTAAGTGCAGTAGTCATGGCCATTTTGTGGGTGTTTTGTAAAGGAGGCAGCATGGTTCTGATGGGAAGGACACTCCTGGATGACCCTGAGCAAATCCATTAGCCTCAGTTTCCCCATCTGCCAAGTGAAGGAGGTAGACCAGCTAGGTCCGGGATTCCTAAGCTGCTTTTGTGAAGGCCTGGAAGTTAGTGTAAGTTTCTTGCGCACACAGGCATTGCTCAGAGGTTATTTTATGGGCGTGATAAGAGCTATGCATAGCCCTTGTCTGATTCGTGTTTTTTTTTTTTTTTTTTTTTAAGATTTTACTTATTTATTTGACAGATCACAAGTAGGCAGAGAGGCAGGCAGAGAGAGAGGAGGAAGCAGGCTCCCTGCTGAGCAGAGAGCCCGATGTGGGGCTCGATCCCAGGACTCTGAGATCATGACCTGAGCTGAAGGCAGAGGCTTTAACCCACTGAGCCACCCAGGCGCCCCACCCTTGTCTGATTCTTGAAGGGGTCTTGGGTGCCGAGATTGTCTGCAGTGACTCTCTGGGACAGCCACTCATGGCTGCTGGTTCCTGGCCAGTTTGGGATTCTGGGACTCCGATTTTAAAGTCGTTTCTGAGCCTCAGGAAGCAAGTCCTACAGATGTGGCTTCTCTGAGTGATGGGATGAGAGGGATCAGGGATGTAGGAAGGGCTTCCCAGAGCGCTCATCACTGGGGGCTTTGCTGACTAGGGAGACCCCGGCTGCCCAGAACTCCTGAGTCTCTGCTTTGGCCCTCCCTCCCACTCCACGGGCCCTCCTTGTGGCCAAGTGGTGCCTCCCAGTCCCGCCACCTGCCCCTCTCCTGGGTGCTGCACCCGCCTAACCCATCTGCCTGCTTGACGCCGGCCCCACCCCCATCATACTTGGAGTAAAACCCAAATCCCTTACAATCTCTGCCTGATCCGGCCTCTACCTGCCCCTCTGAAGGCATCTTCTCCCATCCCCCCCGCTCCTCCAGCTGCAGCCTCCCCCACCAGTGGTTAGTGTATAGTGCTCTAGCCTTGGCCCACGCTCGGGTCTTTGCCTTGCTGGGCCCTCTGCCTGGAACGTTCCTCCCCACATCTTCCACTGCCTGACTCCTCCAAGTCTCAACTAGACGCCAGCTCTTCCAGGAAGCCTTTCCTGCCCCCCCACTAACACAGACTTCCTTTCCCTCTGTTCTACTCCCTCAGTGCACCTGGCCTGTTTCCTTCAGAGCACGAACACAACCTACAAGGAAATATTTGTGTGTTTTCTTCCCTACCAAGATGTCAGCTCGTGAGGGAAGAAACGGGGTCTTCCGTTGTCTCAGTGCCTGGCTCATAGTAGCATTTAATAAATGCTGGAATGCACTCACTCGCTTGGCTAAAATTAAGATGACTGACAACCCCAGGTGCTGGGGAGGGTGTGGGACAGTTGGCACACTCAGCACAGCCAGTAAGCGTGGACCATGGTACAACAGTTCTGGAGAGCAATTTTTTTCCTTTTTACAAAGTCACATACACTTACTGTATGACCCAGCCATGCCACTTGCAGGTTTCTGCCCAAGGGAGCTGAAGACGTATGTCAACATAAAGACTTGAACACACACATGGCAGACCTGTTCACGATAGCCGAAGACTGGAAACAGACCATCTAGAACAGGCAGGACTGCAGCATCCCCACAGCCTGAAGGGACAGAGAGGAGAAGGAAGCTGAGGAACCCCCCCACCCCCACCCCGGGTGTTCCCTGGGCCAGGGCGGCTGAGTGGTAGTGACCGGTGGTAGTAGGGTATGTTGGATGGGGCCTGGGATGATCCCAGGGATGTCCCCGGAGACAGAGACTCACCCGGCACCCTGCTCCCTAGTCTGAGAGCAGGGGACCAGCCACTTGAGAGAACCTGACGGTGGTGCTGCCCGTGGATACAGGATTCTTGCAAAACGCCAATTAAGACATTTGACCCAAATTCGCATAAAAGCCTTTTTCCTGTGTCAAGTTGAGCTAATAATACACATTTGTTCATAATTTATGAGGCTTAGTAAGTGGGAACAATTAAGGAAGAGGCCTGTGCAAAACCTATTTTTTTTAAGTGTCAGGCCTTTTCTTGTTCTCTAAGGCCGTTGCACCCTCTCTGCCCACCACGAAACACTTCTGTTTTTACCGGTATTAGTTCTGACTTCTTGTTGGTTCTGTTAGCTACCGTTTACTGAACATCTCCAAGCCAGGCTGTAACATCGCCTTATTCAGTCTGAACTCCTGGGGAGGGCGTTGTCATTCTATGGATGAGGCTGTTGGGCTTCAGAGAGGAGAAGAGCTTTGCCCAAGGTTTCCCAGCTGGCGAGTGGGGACTAGGATTCAGGTCTGCCGGGCCCCAAGGCCTGTGGTCCACCGTTTCTGGGTCAGCCTCCCAGCTCGGGCTATTTCTCAGTCTGCAGGGCAGCCCTTCTACTGGTCTTTGTTAGATGTGGGAGACCAGGGTCAGAAAGCCATTGCCTTCAGCTGAGTCGTTCTGGGCTTTGGCCTGAGAATCTGCATTGTTTCTAACACGGTCCCTGCTGGTCTTGACCCTGCCTGTCCCGGGACAGCACTTGGAGATAGGCTGGTTCAGTCAGTGCTGTTGCCACAGTCTGCGTGCCTCCCTTGTCCCCCACCCACCATGGTCAGGTGCGCATAGAGCCTTGTAGACCTTTTCCTGGACATGTGCATATGTATTACGTGGGCAAAGAGTTGCGTAGTTTGATTTTTCGCTTTTATGCATGTGACATCATAGTCTACTGGTTCTAGTCTATAGTTTAGTTTTTATTTCCATTTAATGTGTCTTGGAGGGCATATATACCGCTGCCTTGTTCTTTTTCAGAGGCACCGTGGTATTCTGTGTTTCGGGTGACTATAGTTTTATTTACCTATTGTCCTCGGATGAGTGGTCTTCCACGTTTTAGACATTACACCTGGTCCTGTGAAGTCCCGGAGAAAATGGATGAGTGTTTCTCCAGAACATCGTCATTCCTCAATAATGTCAGCCATTTGGGATGCCTGGGTGGCTCAGTGGGTTAAAGCCTTTGCTTTCGGCTCAGGTCATGATCCCAGGGTCCTGGGATCGAGCCCTGCATCGGGCTCTCTGCTCAGCGGGGGAGCCTGCTTCTTCCTTTTTTCCGCCTGCCTCTTTGCCTACATGTGATCTCTCTGTCAAAAAAAAAAAAAAAAAAAGTCAGCCATTCTTATTGCTGGTTTTTGTTTCATTATTGATATTGCGTTCCAGAAATCCCCTTTCAGGTGGGGACAGTAGTGTAAATGAGGATCTGTTTAGAGCTTCTAATGAAGTTTTCAACACAATAGTTCTGGTAAGAAGAAAGAGGTGCTGTGGGGGGAAAAGGGCTTTGAGGGGTGTGTAGGAGAGCAAAGGAGGAGGGGAGAGAACAGCAGGCAGAATTTGTATTGCCAGGGCCCGGCTTCATTCCTGGTAGATTCGACCATTGCTAGAGGGTGGGACATCTCTTGGTCATGTGGCAAAGTCAGGCCTTAGCCTAAGAGCTGCCAGGGTTCCAGGCTGGCAGCACCATGAGTAAGAAGGGTCCATGCCTGGATCCAGCCAGGCCCAGCTCTGACTCACCTCCTTTCCTTCCTGTCTCCTCAGGGTGGGGGGTCCGGGGAGGAGCAACTCTGCGCTGACTTTCCTGAGCTGGACCTCTCCCAGCTGGATGCCAGCGACTTTGACTCAGCCACCTGCTTCGGGGAGCTGCAGTGGTGCCCAGAGAACTCGGAGACTGAAGCCAGCCAGTACAGCCCTGACGACTCCGAGCTCTTCCAGGTATGTCCTCTGAGCCTCGAGGTATCTCTGCTCCTGAAAGGGTCTCCCTGCACCAGGGTCTCCCTGCACCACCTCTTCTGCATTTGCTCATGCGAAGAAGTCCCATCACCCCAGCGCTCCTGGGACCCTGCCTCTCATCTGGGATCTGCTGTTGATCTGGGGTGGTTCTCACCTGCTCGCGGGCCTGTTACCACCTCTGCACAGGGAGGGCTGTGAAGAGCTGCTCTTGCTATGCCCCTGCAGTCAGAAAGGAGCCCCCCAAACCCCGAGACCTCCCTTCTGTGTATTATCTCACTGACTTCTCATCCTTACCCTGTGAGGCAGGCACGATGATGAGCCCATTTTATAGATGAGGAGACTGAGGCTTGGGGAAGTTAAGTCACGTGCCTAGGGTAATTTACCTAGTCAGTAGCTGAGCTGGATGCAAACCCAGCTGGCCTCCCTCCTGAGCCAGGGCTTTGTAACCACAGTGACGCCATAATGGAGATGACTCACTTGGATAGAACAACTGCGCTGTGGCAGGACTGTCCCTGTTGTGTCTATTAACTCATTGAATTCTCTTAACAACCCTTAGAGCGGGTACAGCTGTCTTCATTTTTCAGTTGGGGCCTAGAGATTCTTTGAAAAGAGGCAGAGCCAAGAACTGCTGTGCCTATCCATGCCTTTCCCCTTGCACACTCTGCGTCCAGTCTCGGGGGCCCCTGATGGGCAACACGTCCTTTAAGGAGTCCCCGAGTACGAAATACTATGATGTCTGGGATTTGCTTCAAAATAGAGCAGGCTCTGCACGCATTTGCAGGTGTGGGTGTGTTGGCGAGGGTAGTAGGTGAAATAAGTTGAGTGATGGGTGCAGTCGGATTCATTATTCTTTCCTTGAAATCTGCTCCCCCATAAAGACTGGTGGGAGGAGGCTCCTCCTGCCTGTCTGGCAGTTCATATTGCCACATGTCAGGTGTCACGTGTCAGGTGTCGTGCTGGTGTGCTGTGAGCGTTCTCTCAGTCCTGATGGATTGTAGTGCTCCTTCTAGAAAGGGAAGCTCCCTCCGTGTGTCAGGCACTGTGCTGTCTACAGTCTAGAGAGAAAACCGACCCTAGCTCCGCTAACGCAGAAACCGCGGTCATTGTGACATGCACACAGAAAAAATGTGCCAGGTGTGAGAAGGGGTTCTAACGACTGGGTGGTCAGGAGAGGCCTCTCTGAGGATGAGACGGAGTAGCTGTGTGAAGCTCAGGGAGCAGGACAGAGCTCTCCTGGCAGAGGAAGCAGCAAGGGCAGAGCCAGGGAGCAGGAAAGCTTGTTGTATTGGGCAACAGAAGAGCTGGTGGGTAGCAGAGGAACATGCCAGGGTAGAGTCAGATAGGTAGGCAGGGGCCAGATGCTATGCAGGGTCTTGTGGGCCGTGATAAGGAGTCTGGATATTTCCCAAGTCTATTCTAACCTATAAAGAAAGGACTATTAATGACCATTTTACAGGTGATGAAAGTGAAACTCGAGAGGTTACGTAACTTGGCGCCAGGTCACACAGCTAGGAAGGATCCGGTGAAGACTCGAACTGAGGAAGCCGTACCTCTTGGTACTGTACGACCTCTCTGCCAGCCCTGTTCAGAGCAGCAGGGCTGGGCTTCAGGTCCGACTATGTCCAGGGACCTGCATTCTTTATTTGAACAATAGGGATGAGACCTACGCTGTGCTGCTTTCTCCCTGAGAGGGGCTTAACTTCCAGAAAATGCTTTCAGGTCATGGAGAGCTGATGAGTGAGAGATTTAAAGGCTCCATGGAGACCACCACCACCTGAACTGTACAGGCCCCTACTTCTCAGGTTGTCCAGACCCACTAGCAAGTCCCTGCCAAGATTCCCACTATGAGTGTGAAATGGTCTTGGGCACAAGTGAGCCTGTGTGGCCCTGGGGTTCCCAACCCAGTGAGGAAGGCAGACCCCTCACAGATGGACAGCATCCTGGCCGACCTCTGCTCCCCCAGCCCCTCCCCTGTCACGGTCTGCACACCCCACCTGCTCTCCCTAGCCCAGGCCGGTTCTGCCCGTTACCCATGGATGCACCCCTGTGTGTGGGATTATGGGATCGGTGCCTGCCCCCCACCGCACATAACGTCAAACCCCATGACTGTGGGGACCACGATGGCACTGGGCACTCTTATATCCCCGGGCTCTTCACTTGTGGAGTGCAAGCCTGGCACTTGCTCTGGCCTTAATAAATAGGTATCAAGTGACTAAATCCTTCAAGGCCCAGCTCTCCTGTCGCCCCCTTAGGCAGTTGGTGAGTTCCTCTCCTAGGCTCTCATCTGCGTGCGCGCACACGAGCGTGCCTGTGTCTCTGTGTCCTTTAGACGGTGAGTTCCTTGAGGACAAATGGCATTGGCTTCATCTCTGGTGCCCTCACACGTCGTAAGGACTCGATCACTTGCGTTGAATGAAGGAATTGATGGGGATACTTTATTACCTGCCAAGGACAAGATGTGGCCCATTCCACAAGCCTCAACTTGCATCGTGGTTTTTCCCTCAGCCACAAACCTGGGTTTCTCATTTGGCCAGTGAGAATCCTGGGGCCGTGCTGCCTGGGTTAGAGCCGTGTTCCCCCAGTCAGACAGTGCCACTGCAGTGGAAATAGACTTGGAACATGGAGGACAAGCCACCGTAACACGGTTAACAGCCCCTCAGGGGCGGGGATGGTGCCCTCCGTGTGTCTGAGTTTCCAGAATCCTCTGGCCAGGACCACAACCATCACTAAGTATTTTTTGGAGGAAGCAGGCATTGGGTTGTTCTGTCAGTTTGCTCTGTGGTCTTGGGCCAGTTGGTGTTGGGCCTCAGTTTCCCCATGTGGGGAATGAGGAAGGAACGTGGTGGATTCTTGATCTGTGTTTCTTGATCCGTGGAGGAGAATGTCATCAGGTCCTTTTAGACTCTGATTGTGCCCACTGTTGGGAAAAAAGGAGGAAAAACTGATTACCTGGCTTTTCTGGAGGGTGGTTGAACCCCCTGGACAGGGAGGATTTCTGAGTGTTCTTCTGGCTTGCATAGCAGAAATCCTATTCCATGTCCCTCTGGAATTCAGGCCCCTCCTAGGCCTTCAAAGTGAAACATTTTCCCTGGGATTTCTTGAAGACTCCTTTTCCTCCGGCTTGAGAGCTGCTCAGGAAGGCTGGGGTGGGGCCGAGGCTATTAATATCCCTTGCTTCCCTGATTAACTCTCCATTAATTTGCAATCGGCTTCCAAGCGGAGTGGGGAGAGCCTGGCCAGTAGGCCCCGGGAAGAGGAGAGAGGGTGGCACGGGCCCTGTGATCCATCGTCCTGGGTGCTGACAAACTCCGTGGACGCCGTGGATAGATCAGCCTTTCTTCCCGGCAGGGTCAGGACCTCCAACCCGGCTGGCTGTTCCTGAACCAGAGCAGCCCGGGGAGGCGGGGAGGTCTTCCGTTACTCTTTTCGTTTTGGCCCAACCTGTTGGGTGCTTCCCGAGGTCTTGGCTGTTTTGTAACCATTTTTGCACAGTGCCTGGCACACAGTAAATCCTACCCCCACCCTGACTTGCTGTGTGACCTTGACAAGTCTGTTTCCTAGACCTTGCCCTCACCCCCGCCATAAAAAAATGGCATTTTATGGCATTTTTGCCATAAAAAAATGGCAAATAGGTTTCCTCGTAAGAAAATGAGGAATGGTAATGACTGCCTGGAGGGCTCTGTTAAAGATGTTGGTGTGGGGGCACCTGGGTGATGCAGGCAGCGGAGGGTCCGACTCTTGATTTTGGCTCAGGTCATCATCTCAGGGTCATGGGATTGAGCCCCGTGTCCAGCTCTGTGCTGGGCGTGGAGCCTGCTTAAGGTTTTCTCTCTCCTTCTGCCCCTCCCCCTCCCTCTCTTAGAAAAACCCCAGAAAGACACTAGTGTGGAAAGAACAAGAGCCATAGTTGGTGAGTGATATGGGGGCGAGAGGCAGCAGCCGCCCATGGGGCCCACATTTAACAGTCCTGGCCATTACACGATCCCTGAAGGATCCAGTTCTGATGTGGGTGATAATTTGTAGTATCTCTGGGCCATTGGCTGTGGTCCCTGGGAGAAAGGGAGCTCTCATTCCGTCCAGTGCTGGTGACATCATTTCTGAAGAACTTCCCTCTAGAGTCTCTCCTTTGAGACACTCATCTCAGTCTCTCCTGGTGGCCAGAGTTCATTGTTTGGTGCATTTGTTGTTCTCTCTGCAAATCTTCCTGGAAGCCACCTGCCCCCGATGCTGAGCTAGGCTTAGGAGCACCCTCTGGGGGAGCACTTCTGTCCCTGCTTCCAGACCTGGCTTTCCTGAGCAGGTGGTGGTAGGGGGAGGGGAGATTACGTTTTCCCATTTTACAGAAAAACCGACAAGGCTTAGAAGAGAGAAACGATTTGCTCGCAATCACCCCATGGTGGCAGAGCCCCCTGTGGTCAGGCCCCAGAGTGATCACTGGGTCCCTGGTTCCAAGGTCTTACTTCACTGCCTGTCAGGCCGGACAGATTGCTCTGGGAATAGCGGAGACTCTGGCCTGAGGGGGGTGGTGGTGGCGACGGCCGGGGAACTGGGGGGAAGCAGTCAAATGAGCCCATCGCATTCTTGGGCCAGAGTCCGCGGGCCCAGATCTGCCCTTGTGTGTCCTGACTCTCCCCCACCCCCCACACTCCCCAGGGCCTGGGTCAGGCCCAACCAAAACCTTCTTTTGACCTTTCTTTTATTTGAGCTCTGTTCCAAAAATGACAAACGCGTTTGTTCTCTTCACCCCATGTCCCCCCTTTGAGTTACGCAGCTGCTGCTGCGGTTGTAAGGCCTGGAACGGGCTGAGTGCAGCCAGAAGGCTGTCACGAGATGCGAATTTCAGATGCACTTCCTGAAGAAAGGATAAACAGCCTGACCTGGGATGGGAAAGAGGGCCGGCGGATGCCTCGTATGACAGCATGCGCCTCCGGCCGGAACACACCCAGTGGGCGGTGCTCGCTCAGCGAGGGGCTCGCTGCCTCACCTGGGAGCCATGTGATCGCCACGCTCCGGGGCCTCTGGGCACGGGGGCCCGTGGGCTCTGGGTGGGCAGGCTGGGTACATGCTGACCCTCGTCATTTTAGATCGGAAAAGCTTAAGTCTCGGCTCATCTGGGCCATCATGGGCTCGGGCGAGTCCTCCTCTGTCCTGGATTTGCTCTGCGACCCTGGACACCTTGTTCAGCCTCCACGAGCCTCAGTTTCCCCAAGTGCAAAATGGAGATTGGAGTAGAACTCCCGTCATAGAGGGTCTCCCCACCACCCCCAGCCAGCTAGCCTGTGAATCTTCATTGCGTTCCCTCCATAGCAGCTTCCGTTTCCTTTCTCCCTAGGCTTTCGTTCTCTGAAATGCTCTTGTTTATGCCCTTGTTGGAGTCTGTTCTCCGCTGGTAAGGACGCTCCATGGGGGCAGGGGCTGCACCTGTCTGGGCGCGCAGTAGGACCAGTGCCCCGACCATGCTGGGTGCAGAGTAGCCATTCAGTATGTGTGTGTGTGTGGGTGGGAGGAGGGAGGGAGGGAGGGAGGGAATGCCGCTGCCACCACTACTGTCATCCTAGGAGTAAAGGGGGCAGTGGTCCGGAGTGCTTATTACACACCAGGCACCATTTGCCAGGCATCTTGATATACATTATTAGCTCAACTGAAGTTAGGTCCTCAACCATGACCTTAAGAAATAGGTACTGTTGTTGCCTGGGACAGATGAAGAAACTAAATCACTTGCTCGAGAACCTGTGGTTGATAAGTGTGGGATCTGAGATGCAACCTTAGCCTCAGAGCCCAAGCTCCTGACACCTCCTGAGTGGTGAGCAAGGCCGAGGAACCCACCGGGAAGTGGTGGCTGTTTTATTATTGCTCTGGTTATCACTGCATGGCCAACCCCACAGCTTCCAGCCCGTACACGGCCAGCCTGGGCCCCAGCATCAGCGGGGCTGGGAGGCTGCCGTGGGATGCTGTTCCCAGAGGCAGAGAGCTTCAGGGGCCCCGGGCTGGGTCCCGGGAGTTAGAACAGGAGGCTGTGGTGTGGAGCCACTGTCCGTGGTAAAGGGGACAGCGGATGTCTTTCAGGTGGACAGCCCTATGCCCGCACTGATGTCAGCAGAGCCAGGATTGGGGCTCCCGGGCTGAGGCTCTTTCCAGGATCACCTGCTCCCTGCGTGCAAACTTCTCTGATTCCTGGAGTCGATAATGTATTTCTCAGGCATCTGCTGGCCCGATGATACTGAGCGATCTGAGTGGGGGGAGGGACAGGAGAGGACTTGGCAGTGGGGCGAAGGTGGGGCAGCTGCCTGTGCAGACCGGATTCCCATTAAGGGGACGTGAAGCCGGCCGAGCCCTGGGTGCTGACTAACCGTGTCCCTCTCTGCTCCACACTGTGCGCTCCTCACTTCAGATCATCGACAGTGAGAACGAGGCCCTCCTGGCAGCGCTCACCAGGACCCTGGACGACATCCCTGAAGATGACGTGGGTCTGGCTGCCTTCCCGGCTCTGGACGGGGAAGACGCGCCGTCCCGCACTTCGGCTTCGCCCACCCCCTCCTCTGCACCTCCCAGCCCCAGCCCCTCGCTGGAGAGGCCCCAGGCCCCGGCGCCTGAAGTGGATGAGCTCTCGCTGGTGAGCACTTGTTTCTAGTGGACGTGGTGGCGGTGTCAGGTTGTAGGGGTCGTGGGTGCAGGGGAGACAGCGCCAGCCCCTGCAGGGCTGTCTGTGCGCAGCCTGGAAGGGCTGCCCGGAAGGCCTCTCCGGGCCTCACCTTTCCCACCGGTACAGCTGGGCTAACCTCGGAAACTCCCCCTGTACTCTGTAGGTCCTTCGGGATCTCATGGACTCACCTTCCTTGTGTGGTTAACCCTCGGAGTCACACGTAAACCTTTTCCTAAAGGTTACGCGTATACACGCAGTAAAAATGAAAACAGGAAATGTGGATCCTTCAAAGCAAAACCTCCTTACCCATCCTGCAGTTGAGTTCTTGCCTGGCGGTAACCATGGTTACCGATCTGTTTTGTGACTTTCCTCTGCTACCTTTTTTTTTTTTTTTTTTTAACACTACAAGAGGAAGTCTGCATTACACACTGCTGTGCACCTTTTCTCAGTGAACTGTGTCTCACTCAGATGAGCCCAGGTCGCTCTGCTCCGTCCTTTTTGTCAGCTGCATAATGTTCTTCCGTAAGGACGTACCGTAACTTGTTGAACGTGTCCCTGGTTGGTGGGGATTTATGTTGTTCCAACTCTCACGGCTGCACTGCTGTGGTCAGTGCCCTGGCACAGCCCTTTGTCTCATCTCAGTGGAATTCTTGGGCCTACAGATACCCGATGTTTCCGTTTAGAAAGCTAGTTCCAGGTTACCCTCCACAGAGTTCAGACTGGTTGCTGCTCCCACCAGCAGAAGTTCAGTGCTGTCTGTGAGTACACGTGGAACAGGGGAACGTGCACAGGGCATTGCAGTTTTGAGGGGAGAAGCTCTCAGCTTTTATCACATCCTTAAAGGAATCCAGAGTTACTGAAAGCAGTTGCCCCTAATTCTGGCCGAGGGTTCCGGAAGCCGGAAGCTGAGAGGTCATGGGGCGTGTGAAGTCCAGCTTCACTCACCTATCTTGGGCTCCCCGCCCTGGTGCTACAGCTCCTGGGGGCTGGCAAGACCCAGCTGGAAAATCAGAGCCTGTTGAGCTGGGAGGGGTCTCAGGTCATGGAAAGTTCTGAGCAGAAAGGCCTTTGGTGACTGTCAAGTGCAGCTCTGGGGAAACTGAGGCCCAGAGCAGGGAGGGATTCTTCTCTGGTCAACATAGCAAGTCAGTGTTCTGACTTCTGGTCCAGGATCCTTATCCTTCTTTTCCACTGCCTGCAAGCTCTTCAGAGTGGCGTGAGACAATTAGTAAGCACCTGCTGTGTGCTAGGCACAAGAGAATACGTTTGGTCCCACATTGCGGCTTCTGCTGACGGGAATCTGCTGACTGGGTTTGAATCTCAGCCCCACCAGTTAGTGCTTATGGATCCTTTAGACCCCTCATCTCTCTGACTCAGCTTCCTGGTCCATAAGGTGAGGTTAATCATGGGGCTTATCTCAAAGGCTGTTAGGAGGAGTACAGAAAATGCACGGAGAGCATTTAGAACAGTGCCTGGCACATAGAAGTTGCTCAATAAATACTATCTAAGTAATAGTGCCGGTGGTAGTACTACCAAGAGGAGTTCTCTGTGTGGGTACTCTGGGAGAGGCATCAAACCCCAGAGAGGCAGAGAGGGACCCCTGCTGGCCACAGGGTATTTCTTCCACGCCTCAGACTGCCTTTCCCCAATGTCTGCTGCACACGTCAGGCGCTGTGCTAGACGCACAGGAAACAGACTCACCATCTAGATTCCCAGCATACCCACAGAGTTCAGAAAGGCCCTGAGAAGGGATCCAGATGCCCAGTTCTTAACTGGGAGTCATGAATCCCAGAGAGTCCACCGGTGGACTAACCGCAACCCATCATGGACCTCTACATCTCCGTGTGTCTCTCTGAGGTCAGCAGCTTCTGTCTTACCCCATGAGAAACTCCTGAGTCAAAAAAAGGTTCATAACCAGTCATTTAGTGTTCTTGCTGCCATTATGCCCACGGAGAAACCAAGGCCTGGAGAGGGAAAGGACTCACTCAATGTCTCATAGTGAATGGGGCTGAGCTGGACCATAACCAGGTCCCTTCCCGCCAGCCCAGGGATCTTTCCCTGTCCATGTCAGAGAATCACAGAGCTGTCTGTGTTGGTTTGAGGTCTAGGTGGGGGTGGTCGGAAGCCTCAGCTCCTAAGGGAGTGAGGAGTGGCCTTTTCTCTGGTGTCTGAGCCTTTGACGCTCCTTGCTCGGGTGATCTGGGGGGCATATCCCCACCCCTTTTTTTAAAAAGATTTTATTTATTTGACAGACAGATCACAAGTAGGCAGAGAGGCAGGCAGAGAGAGGAGGAAGCAGGCTCCCTGCTGAGCAGAGAGCCTGATGTGGGGCTTGATCCCAGGACCCTGGGATCACGACCTGAGCTGAAGGCAGAGGCTTTAACCCACTGAGCCACCCAGGCGTGAGGGGTGGAGATTGGTGCTGTAGTGAAAACCCAGCATGCTTCCTGACTTGTCCTCAGTCTTGCTGGGGACGGGATCCCTGGTGGAATTTGCAGGGGGCGCTGAGCTCCCTGCTTTTTACCAGGGTGCACTGTGCCACTGCCCTCTGGGTGCAGAAGTGTAAGCATCTCAGCAGTTCTTCTAGAAAAATTAGAAAAGCTGCACAAGCTTGGGTATGCTTCCGCCTGTGTAAAAATAGTCAGGTGTGTCGGAGGTGATAGGTACATATGTTCTTGTGTGTTCGAATTCCACCTCGGGCTCGGGTCACAAGAAGGTGGTTCATAGTCATTGCCTCAGGGAAGGAGCAAGGGACACCTCAGGCAGGAGGGTGACTTGCTGCTCATCGTTTACCCTTCGTATTTGTGGTGTGTGTTTTTTCACCATGGACAAGTATTACTTTTTTAATTTAAGAAATTAACTTTTAACGGTGTGGTATGAATAACCAAAAAGAGCAGTTGGAATCCCATACCAAAGAACCATTGTGTGACTTTCCAGATCGTGTGTGTGCGTGCGCACACATGTGTGTACTGCAGGTGTATGTAGAGCGTCCCAATAAAGTGTTCGTGTCAGGTTTTAACAGGAGAACGGGAAAACATTCCCCGAGATCTGTGTGGATTTCTCCAAGTCACAGGTACTCCTCTTGGGTTGATAACTCCAAAAAGGATTTACCTTTTATGGGGATGCCTGTGTGTCTTAGATTGTTAGACAGTCTGCTTTTCTGAGCTTCACGTAATGGGAACATATTCTAGGTAGTGAAATGCCCTCCTTGTGTTCTTCCCGTGGTCCTGTGAGGACGTGGGCTCAGAGCATGCTCCGTCCCAAGAAGCCAGCTGTGGGTTCCAGCTTCTCTCTGAGATGCGCATCTCTGTGGCTCCCAGCAGAGCGCAGCTCCCATGCTCCTCTCCTCTCTGCTTCTCTCGCAGCTGCAAAAACTCCTCCTCGCCACGTCCCACCCGACTTCAAGCTCTGACATGCAGAAGGAAGGGACCGCCTGGCGCCAGGCAGGCCTCAGGTCCAGGAACCAGCGGCCCTGTGTTAAGGTATTTGTGCACATGTCCCCAGTCCACCAGGCCCCCAGGTGGCCTCTGAGGGGTGCACCCTTCAGCTCTTACTAGTGGGTATTGAGTTCAGTCACCTTCCAGTTACCCTGCTTGTGTCTCACATAGCCCTTGTAGCTGGTGTGCTGGGTAATTCTGGAGGCCAGTTTGGGGTTCTGGAAAGAGCACTGGACTTCTACACCTCAGTGTTCAAGGCATCATGTTATACATGGGGTTAGAGCAGGGACAGGAAGATGTGGCCTGCTCTCAGTGGGTTTATTCTGATGGGTGACACACGGAAACCTGAGGTCCTCGCTGGAGACCACAATGAAGAGTTTGGATTTCTTCTGGGGGGAAGCCACAGGAGAGTCCACATCTCTGTCCTGAACACCAAGGAGCGAAGCAAATCCCTTTTCCTCCATGGGCTCCATCTTCTAAGACTTTCAAAGAGGTTTCAGAGGTGATTTCCCTGCAGGCCCGTGACTCAGAGCCTGCACTTGGTCCTTCCCTTTGGGTCCCTGGACCCTCCTGCAGGGGACTGTTGCTCACAACCCCATGCCCTCAAGGAAGAATCAGGATTTTTTTAAAACAGTTCTATGGGGGTGTCACTTAAATATCAGAAAAGGCACTAATTTTGAAAGTATAATTGGATGATTTGTAGTAAATGTACAGGGTTGTGCAGCCATAACCACAGTTTAGTTTTAGAACATTTGCCATCATCCCAGAAAGCTCCCCAGCACCGCCATGTACAGTCCTTCGCTGTCCCCACACGCAGGCAACCACTGATGTGGTTCCCGGTGCCATTACTGAAGGGCATCATGCAGGAGAGCGGGGTGGTTAGAGCAGGGCTGTGGCAGTGAAGCGGGAAGGGGCGAGATCCACGGCTGGAGGCCTGTGAGGAGGCTGCTGGTTCCTTCGTTCCTTGTCAGCCGAGCACTGCCACATGCCACATGAGCCCTGGCCGGTGGCTTACAGGTGTGGGGCAGAGCGGAGGCGGGCGGTGCGGGCCTCCCGCCTCACTCGGCCCTCTCTCTCTCCCTAGGTGGACGGCACCCAAGACAAGAGGGCCCCCACGATGCAGTCTCAGAGCCGGAGTTGTACCGAACTGCACAAGCACCTCACTTCAGTGCCGTCCTGTCCCCAGACTGCAGCCCGCTCCCCAGACAGGGGCGTGTGGCCCCCACCCGCCCTGAGTCCCCAGCTTCCTGCCAAGGAGGAGGAGGAAGCTGGGGAGGACTGCCCGAGCCCCCAGCCAGCTCCAGCCTCGCCCCAGGCCTCCCCAGTACTGGGTGGAGCAGGCCCGGGCGCCCAGGGCTCCCGGGACGACACGCAGGCCATGGTGCAGCTCATTCACTACATGCATACGTACTGCCTGCCCCAGAGAAAGCTGCCCCCGCAGGCCCCAGAGCCAGCCCCCCAGCCCTGCGGCAGCCCCTCCATACAGGCCAAGGCCCGGCCCCGGTCCCAGCACCCTTCCAAAGGCTCCTGGGCAGAATTCTCCATCTTGAGGGAACTTCTGGCTCAAGATGTCCTCTGTGATGTCAGCAAACCTTACCGCCTGGCCACACCTGTCTATGCCTCCCTCACGCCCCGCCCCAGGCCCAGGCCCCCCAAAGACAGCCAGGCCTCCCCTGGCCACCCGTCCCCCGTGGAGGAGGTGAGGATCACAGCTTCGCCCAGGAGCACTGGGCCCAGACCCAGCCTGCGCCCCCTGCGCCTTGCGGTGAAAGGACACGCCAGGCGGTCAGCCAGGCTGCAGCGGGAGGAGGAAGAGGAGGAGGAGGAGGAGGAAGAGGAGGAGGAAGAGGAGGAGGAGGAATGGGGCCGGAAAAGACCGGGCCGAGGTCTGCCATGGACCAAGCTGGGGAGGAAGCTGGAGAATGTGGTGTGCCCCGTGCGGCGCTCCAGGAGACTGAACCCGGAGCTGGGGCCCTGGATGGCATTCTCTGATGAGTCTCTGGTGCCCGCGGAGCCCCGAGGAGCTCTGCCGTCACTGCGCCTGGCTCCGGAGGCCTACAACATGGAGGGGGCACTGGGCAGCCCCACGGACGAGGACAGTGGCCAAGACCAGCAGCTCCCACGGGGACCCCAGATCCCGGCTCTGGAGAGCCCCTGTGAGAGTGGGTGTGGGGACACGGATGAGGACCCCAGCTGCCCACGGCTCCCTTCCAGAGGTAGTCAGAGTTGGTGGTCTGCAAGAGAGGGGGCAGGGATGGGGTATGGCATACTGGGAGCCAGGAGCCCTGTGCTGGGCAAGTCCCTTCCACTCTCCGGCTCTCGACTTCCCTTCCTGTGCAATGGGCTAGTTAGGTGGATCTTCAGAAATCACCCAGCCATCTCTGAGTTTTGCGTCACGCATGGGCCAGGCACCACTTTAGTGCACACAGAGCGAGATGCCTGCTTTCGTGGGGCTTTTGTGTCAGTGGGCAGACAGGCAATCACAGAGTAAATAAAAAAGGGAGAGAATTACAAATTGTGCCACGTGCTCTAAAGGAGACATCCTCCATGATGATGTGATGAGAGGAGTGAGTCTGTAAATGCAGCTCCGTAATGACGTTGAATATTAAAGGGGAGCAGTGGTGGTGATTATAAGGGTGTCTGTTGTATATTGGCTATGTCAGGGCGCTGGTATAAAACCTGACACAGCTTAACCCCACTGACTCCTCACAGGGGGCCTGGCATAATCTCCATGGTCAGACCCAGAAACTGAGGCGCAGAGGTATCGAGCGACCCGTTCAGCTCCTAAGTCCTACGTCCATCTGTCCACCTCCATGCTGTACTACACTGTTTGGCCAGAAGGGGCCACCCTCGTACCTACCTGCTCTTTCCAAACCCTCCAGTAGTCTGCCTGCAGCTAATGTTGCTGAGACCCTGGGAACAAAGGTGGCATTGAGTTGTCCTGCCCTTCCCTGAAAAATGACAGAGGCCTTTGGGTCACATGCCTGCAGGGAGCCCTGCTTGGTACCAGTGGGAGTTCAGGGTTTCCTCCAGAGGGAAACGTCTGCTAGTGATGCTATGTCAGGGAATCTTACTTTTTTCTTTTTCATCTTCTTTTCAGACTCTCCCAGGTGCCTCATGCTGGCCTTGTCACAAAGGTAGATTTTTGGAAATCACTGGTATATTATTCCATGATTTTTTGTCCTGATGGGTATGTGTATCGGGGGTGGGGGGGGTTGGGTGGCTTATCAGCCTCTGTGCCTGCCCCTGTCCCTATGCCCCTGCCCTCTTGCCATGTGGGGCTCTCCATAGCTGAGCTCCCATACAAGGGAGGTCTCTGCAGACCCAGGGAAAGCGGGGAATTAAGGTTTCAGGCCATTTCATCAGCTGTCCTCTCCAGGACGGGGGAGGGGGAAGGAATTCTTTTCTCTGCAGGGGAAAGCTGATAATGCTGTGTGGCTTTGGGCAAGTCTCCTCCCCTGTGCGGGCCTCAGGTGCTTGTGTATAAAATAAGGAAGGTGATGATGCTTACCATGTGTCTGTCTCCTGCGAGAGCTAGATGCGGCTTTCAGTTCCTCTAAGCCAGCATGGGGTTTTTCCAGAAAATTCTCCCCAGGACCCACCTCTGTGGGCAGCAGAACCAGGGTGTGTCACAGGGTCCCCCTGCCCTCCTTGCATGCTGGGGAAGTGGAGCCTGTTGCTGATTGGCCTCTTGCCTTTCTGTCCTCCTCGCCTCCACCAGTGACCCTCCTTTTGGCAGGAAGAGCTTTGAGCAGACCTTGACGGTGGAGCTCTGTGGCACCGCAGGTGAGCCAGGGGCTTGGCTGGTAGGGTGCCCTTGGGGGAGCTGACACAACTCCTGGCGACGAGTCCCCTACATGAGCGGCCCCATCGAGCGCTCCCTGCTGTGGCAGAGGGTCTGAAGGTACACAGGAGGGGTGTTGTAAGGCGGGGGAGGTCAGCCATTCAGCTGCAAATGGTCGCACATGAGCTGAGGGCAAGGTTAGGAGAGGAAGAGACCCATGTCTTACCCCAAAGGAGCCCACCACCTTCTGTAGGGGACAGACTCAGGCCACGCCGGGCTCTGTTCCAGGCACACTCATTTATAAATAAGTATGTGCCCACGCTCTGGGAGCATGGAGGAAGGGGCGGGGTGGGGTGGGGCAGACGTGTGGCCCTGGGGAAGATCTGCAAGGCATCCAGAGTGGGGGCTTACAAGCTGGCTTGCGGGAGGAGCAGAAGTTGGGGAGACGAAGAGGCAGGAAGGAGATCCTTGGTGGCAGGAGTAAAGGCACATGGGGTGAAATCCCAGGTGCCCCTGAGGAGGCCGGTAACCTGGAGTTGCTGCTTAGCAAAAGGGGGGTGGGCAGGAGGGAGCAATCCGAGAGGCCGAGAGGAATGCCAGGCTGAGGGTTTGATCTTGATCCTGGAGGCTGCAGGAGACCCAGAAGGAAGAGATCTCGAGCGTTTATCAAGTTCCTTTGGGTGCACTGGGGAGGATGGAGGCCAAGGTTAGATGCAGGAAACACGGATGGCACTGTGGTGGCCCTGTCCAGGTGGGAGAATTGACCTGTGGTGCCTGCCTCCTTTCCACTCTGGGAGACAGCAGAGACAGTGGAGACAGCTTATTGAGGGATTGGATGATACCTCAAATGACCTCAAGGTTTGGTCTGCCGTGGTCAGGCTCCAGAGGGACAGCAGGGGGATTTCATCACATGCCTGCTCAAGATTGACCGTGGACTGTGAGAAGTCCCCGGCCGCTCTCAGGCGCAGCCAGCAGTGCAGCAATCGATTAGCGATACCTGCCATTCATTCCGTTGGGGAAGTGGCGGTGCCTGTGCTGCTTACTTGCGTTTCCGAACTAGAGTCTCTGTCCACTGGAGAAGTGATCTGTCTCCGCCTCACAGGGTTCTCCTCTTGCTTGGCTAGGACTCACCCCACCCACCACACCTCCATATAAGCCCACAGAGGAGGACCCTTTCAAGCCAGACATCAAACACAGCCCAGGCAAAGACAGAGCTCCCAGCCTCCCCAGCCTGGAGAGTCTCCAGCTTGGGGCCACCACGGCGGCTGCCCACAAGCTGCCAAAGAAGCACCCAGAACGGAGTGAGCTCCTGTCCCACCTGCGGCATGCTTCAGCCCAGCCAGCCTCCCAGACAGGTCAGAAGCGCCCCTTCTCCTGTTCCTTTGGAGACCACGATTACTGCCAGGTGCTCAAGCCAGAAGGCACCCTGCAGAGGAAGGTGCTGAGGTCCTGGGAGCCATCTGGGGTCCACCTTGAGGACTGGCCCCAACAGGGTGCCCCACGGGCTGAGGAGCAGGCCTCCGACAGGGAGGAAGACAAAAGCTGTGACGGCGGTGCCCCCGCCAAGGACAGTGTGCTACTGAGAGACCACGAGATCCGTGCCAGCCTCACCAAACACTTTGGGCTCCTGGAGACCGCCCTGGAGGACGAAGACCTGGCCTCCTGTAAGAGTCCCGAATACGACACGGTCTTTGAGGACAGCAGCAGCAGCAGTGGTGAGAGCAGCTTCCTCTTGGAGGAGGAGGAGGAGGAGGACGATGATGAAGAGGACTCAGGGGTCAGTCCCCCTCGCTCTGACCACTGCCCCTACCAGAGCCCACCAAGCAAGGCCGGTCGGCAGCTCTGTTCCCGCAGCCGTTCTAGCTCTGGTTCCTCCTCCTGCCGCTCCCGGTCACCAGCCACTCGAAGGACCTTCAGGTATGGATGGGTGGCCTCAGAGGGACAGTGGGCAGCTGAGGACCCTAGTTCCCAGGGTGCCTCAGAAGGGAGGAGCCCTGAAGCTGTGGCTGTCTCCCCGTGTGGCCCATATCCTGGTCAGAAGTCCCGGGGGTGGTCTCCCTGGGGGGTTATGGGCAAGTCCCAGGGGCAGGCAAAGTTGGCTGTGTGATGGTCAGGAGTCCCCCAGATTTCTGGTCCCGGGAGAGAAAGAAAGCCCACTTCTGGCCACTCATGGTCTTATGTCTAAATGAACTTGTCCCTTACACATCTGTGTTTTCTGCTTTTACATTTGTAAATTGAATCCAGTGTAATATCTGTGTGACATTTACACGTGAAAGGATGACCTGCAGAATTCTAATTTGTGTTCTAAAAAAAAAAAAAACCTGGATTTAAAGCAGCGATAAGGTTTCATCCCATTTCTCGGTGCCGTCCCCCTGGGAGCTGCCTTACCTTCCCACAGCGATGATGCCTCATGAGCCCGTGTGCTAATAACATCTTGGCTCCATGGACTGGTCCGAAAGAAGGAGCTGGTCCAAAAGTCAGCGGGGAGCCAGGCAGAAAGAGTGGAGGTTTGGCATATGTTGGTGGAGACAGGTTGCTTCTCTCCCTGGATCACCCCAGGCCCTGATTGTTCAGCGGAGGGAGTTCCAGAGGAGGGTCAGTGCAGGTCCCAAACCCTCCGCCTGAGATGAACCTGAATGACCACTAGATGGTGCTCTTGGGTCTAGAGCCCTGCAGCAGCCACCTGGCCCTGGTTCCCCTGTGGACGGACGGCTGGACCCCACCCTTCCAGGGTCTGATTCTGTACGTCTGTGGGTGGCGGGGGAGAATCTGCATTTCTGACTAGTTCCCAGGAGATGATGATGTCCCCAGAGTGCCATACTCTGAGACCCAGAATTCAGGTAATAGAAAAATACCTTTTCTTAGAGAAACTCAGCTTTATATGTCTACCCCAGCAGCTCGTATCTGTTTGAAAATCTGAATCAAGCAACTATGCATCTTCCCTTTAAAATAGACGTAGACCTCTAACTGGGCATTCAATTTTAGGGGGTTTGTAGCTTCTCCAGACACTAAGGTTAAGATTCCCTGAGCTACCTGTTAACTCAAAATGAGTTCCCTCTCGATTTCTCTAAAAGCCCCTCTATGTAATAAGCCAGGGTGATTGGTCAGACCTCTCTGAGCCTTCTTTCCGGCTCCATTCTCCTTTCCCCAGGGATCGCTGTGAGCTAAGTGACTTGGCATCTGCATTAGGCTGTTTCCTCTGCAATATTTAGTAGCTCAGAAGCTGCTAAGGCTGTCTTGTTTTTGAAACATATCCCCCCAAGGCTGGAGCTGGAGCTTCCTGGCCTCTGCTCCCTCCTGACCAGCTCAGGCTGTCGGGGGAAGGCCTGCATTCATGCACTCATCTGCAGAGAGATGGGAGCCTCTCTAGAAACTCCCATGGCTTCTCCTTTTCCTTCTCTAGCTTTTGGGCCAAGTTCAGGGCTGGCTTTTTCTGCTCCCTAGAGAAAATTAATGGGTTAACTCTGGTCTTGCTCAGCTGACAAAACTTGGCTCCTGGTAAACCTGGTAAATTAGTCATCCTCCGTCTTCTCGAGACCCCCATTTTTTTAAACCTGTGCGTCTAGTACTCAACATTGGTCCACAGAAGTGTTTTGAGCTGGTTTCATAACACAAACCCCACGGTACCTTCCGGTCACTCTCAGCTCTTCAGGTGGGAAACTGCCAGTCTGTTGCAAACGGATGATGGTATTTGTTATTTATAGCACTTTTTTTTTTTTTTTTTTAATTGGAGAGAGAGAGGTTGGGGCAGAGGGAAAGGGAGAGAGAGAATCCCAAGCGGGCTCCACGCCCAGTGTAGAGCCCTACTAGGTCTCATGACCCTGAGATTCTGACCTGAGCCAAAGTCAAGAGTCGGACGCTTTCCCAACAGAACCACTCAGGCACCCTCTGTTATTTCTAGCGCTCTGAAGATTGTGAGTCACAGCCCCTTCCATGACCCTGGTTAGCTTCACAGATGCACTTGGAGGGCACATCTGCTTCTTATCCCCATTTTGTAGGTGAGGGAGCTAAGGCTCTAGGAGGTGCAACAGAAAGGCAAGCCAGCAGTTACTGAGCGCCTCTTGAGCTCAGCGTTGTCTCATTTGTGCCTCACAGATGGCCAAGGAGGCGGTGTAGTCCGTTCTCCCCGTCTTACCATCCTAGAACTGCAGCAAAGGGCATGTAAGTAACTAGCCCAAGGTCACCCAGCAGGGAGGCGGTAGAGCCAGGATTCAAACGCAGGCTGCCCGACTGGACGATGTGCTTATTCTGCGTGCTGAATTTCCCACAGACGCAGACGGAATGTGCAGAGCCGGGACTCCCCTCCAGCTGTGCATGCCATGCTGCTTCCACTGTAACAGCTGGCTCCCTGGAGGAGGAGGCAGCATGCAGACAGCCCAGAGGACGCAGGCGTGTGGCATCCAGGAGTGTCCTGGGACTGTGCGGGCTGACTCACCTAATGGCCAGCATGACCGTGGGGACTGCGACAGCCGGGATTGCCTCTTGGCTGGGCACGAAGTGCTAGAGAGCAGGCGTCTAGGATCAGCAGCCCTCCTCCTAGCTCTGGCTCCCTCATGTCCTAGCTTTAGGCAGATGCCGTATTGAACCTGAGCCTCAGGGTTTGCCTTTGGAAAACGGGGAAACATAGGACCTCATAGGTTGCTTTTCCCCCATCAGAGCAAATGCAGTAATGAAGCAAAAGGGCCCTTCCACCCCTCATGGCATAAAAAGGCAGGGCCCCGAAGGGTAGGGTGCTGATGAGTGACACGGTAGTTCTCAGGGATCCAGTCCTAGAAGCGGGCCAGATTGTGCAGACCCACATGCAGCCCTGGGCTGTCGCTGCTGGCGGGGAAGCTGGGCTTCCGCCAGCGCCCTCGTGAGTGAGTTCTAAAGAAGCGTCCCTTGCTTCCTGGGGCAGCTGCCCCACGCCCACCCTGCCGTGCCCCTCCTGAGAGTGAGTGCCTCTGCTTTGCTTGTTCACTGACAGATGTGAGAGCAGAGGGCCGTGTTCAGACGGAACGCCAAGCGTCCGGCACGCCAGGAAGCGGCGGGAAAAGGCCATTGTAAGTGATCTGGGGCCCCGGAGCCCGGAGCGAATGGGGAAGAGCAGGGGCGTCAGGATGGGCCGGGGCTTCCTAGACCCGAAGCCTTTTGAGGCTGGCTGCGCCCTGCACGAGATAATTCCATTTCTCTGACTTCAAAAAGCACCAGGGTCCCCAAAGGGCATCAGAGGTGGCATTGTGCAAAGTGCGGCCACCACAGTCAGGGGTGATTTTAGGGCTGAGCACCGGCAGCTTGACAGGGCCAAGAGGGCAGGCTGTGGTGGGGGAGCGGGGGAGCAGAGCTGGGCCAACCAGGACACAGAGCAGCCCTGCTACCACCTTCTATGTGACCTTGGGCAGGTCTCCAAGCTTCCCTGAGCCCTAGTTTACTCATCAGTACACAGGGAGTTGGGCCTTGTCCTTCCCAAGACTTCCCCAGCTTGATCAGGGCTAAGGGACCAGGAGAACCCGCTCCCTGCTTCCTACTGACCTCCCTCTTCCTCCCCCAGAGTTAGTCTGTGGGCCCAGGCTGTGCCAGGAAACTGCAGAGGGGAGCTGGAACCAGCCCCTCCATGACACTAGAAAGAAGGGGAGGGAAGTAAGACGGGGCACAGAAAGACAAACAGACTTGCACTTGATGGCCTTGCCCCAGGACAGGGGCTTCGGGGCGGAGGTGGGGGATTCCGTGAGGTGCGTGTACCCCGGAGGCACACAGGTGTCTGCCAGCAGGCGCTGACCACCACGGGCTATGCCTGGAGCATCTTTGGAATCCGTGTGTGACCATTCGGTGGTTGTGACGTGCTTGGCGTGAGCGAGACGGACGTGGTCCCCATTCCTGTGGCTGGGGCAGAATGGAGAAGGGCAACAGACTCATAAACAAGGAATAAACACTATAATCAGAGATGGGGAGAGGCACGGTGGAATTAATCATGTCAGGCTGAAGCCTCTGAAATAAAGAGTCGTGTTTTGACTGTTGGGGAGGGTGTGTTTATGGGGCCGTCCGGGAAAGGCATCGGCAAGGGGCTAGATGCCGATGGAGGAAAGGAGCCCCGAGGCAGTGTTAGGACCGTGGGTCAGAGGCAGCAAAGAACCTTGTGGGTGGAAGGAGTTGCCAGGAGCCTGGGTGTGGAGGAGGGCGTTCCTTCACGGAGCAGAACCCGTTCCCTGCGGCTGACAGCGCAGCCCACCCGTGTCCCCTGGGCCTTGCTTTCCCCCCTGCCTTCTGTGAGACGAGAATGGGAAGGCTCCAGAATCACTGGCCTTACCCTCTTCCCAGAGAAACCTGTCCAAACCAGAACCTGCCCGTTTTAGCCACCAGAGCACGGCTTTCCGGGAGCTCCGCTGGAGCTGACCTGGTGGGTCAGAGTAGCTTTTCTGCCAGCAGTGGCTTGAACGGGATCCAGTCACAGATTGTAGAGGAGAGGAGGGGACATTCCAGTCTGGATTTCTCCCCACCCCTCTCTCTGCCGGACTGTTCTAGGGGCCCACAGCATGGCACCTAGCTCACCTGAAGTGATCTTAGTCCCAGTGTCTACACGCTGTCCTGGCAAAGCCGAGGACGGTGGTGGCCCTGAGCCCGAGGGCCTGCATCCCATGGCCTTCCCTCCCTGCCCACCGTCACCCCCACAATGACCTGGTTCCCCATCCTTGCCCATTACCATCTGGGCAACTTGCCTTTCGACCACAGCCTCCCCCACTGCCAAAAAAAAGTTCCAGACTCAGACCACAACTCTGGAAGTAGGCAGTTCCGTGAATGATCATGAACGCCTCTCTTGTCTCTGTCCCTTCTCTGCTCATTGCCTTCAAGTGAACCGTTGCTTCCCTTGGGAGCCATTCCCCACCCGACACTCAGCGGTCCCTCCTTCAACAAGGCCGGTCTTCTGGGATAAGGATCGTCATCGTCCTCCCTCTGACTCCAGCCCCACCTGCCGTCACCTGCTCGGCCAGGTGTTATGAGGACGAGGACTCCACGGGAGCCCACCATCAAGGGGGTCCCAGGAAGCCAGACAGTGACTGGGCCTCTCTGTGTTTTTCTTCTCGAGCAGGGCGAAGGCCGTGTGGTGTATGTTCGGAATCTCTCCAGTGACATGAGCTCCCGAGAGCTGAAGAGGCGCTTTGAAGTGTTCGGTGAGATTGTGGAGTGCCAGGTGCTGACCAGAAGCAAGAGGTGAGTCGGCTCAAGCTGTTGCGGTGGGGGAGGGGCAGAGGGCCCCGGCCAGGGCTGGCCACACAGAAGACGCCTGAGAAAATAGGATGAAAATCTGATGATGCCGCAGCCTGGACCTGGAGAGCCAGGCCCCTGAGAAGGTCCGGTCACGGTCCAGCAGCAAGCCCATGGTTTGCTAAGTGCCAGGCTATTCCTGTGCGTTTTCTTCAGCCTTCTGACAAGCCTGTGCCCTGGGCACTCTGTCGTTTTCCCTCTTGGGGAGCTCAGACAAGTTAAGTGAGCAGCTAGTTAGTGAGGAGCAGAGCTGAATCCGCAGCCCAGGGATCTGCTTTAGCTTCTCTACCCTGGGCCTGGTACAGAGCAGCAGTCAGTCCCTGAGGCTTAACAGCACACGTGTTCTGGAACCTCCCTGCTGCTCACATCCCTCCGTTCCTCTGGAGCAGCGAGTTTCAGACCTTTTATTCTGCTGGGAATCTTGGTTTTTCCTCACTCCCCTGGGGTCACAGTGGTCATCTGCCAAGGGTTCTGCTAGACCAGGTTGTGTGTAAATGCACAACTTCGATGTCAAAGCTTGGTCAATTTTGAGATAATGCGGAAGTATCTCCCATTGCGTTTGCCAAGTAGATGATTAAGGTTTTTAAATTCTAATAACACTATTTTTAGAAAGCTTCAATGAGAAAATAATTTCTGTGTAGGGATCATTACACACTTCATATTCATTAAGGCGGCTACGGAACATTCCGGGTGTTGACAAGGGTGGGCGGAAATCAGAACCCTTGTGCACGTTGGCAGGAATGCAGACTGGTGTGGCGGTGCCTGAAAAAATGAAACGGAGAGTTACCATATGACCCAGCTATCACACTGCTGGGTAAATACTTCAGAGACTGGAAAGCAATATCTCAAAGAGATATTTGCACGCCCATGTGAATAGAAGCTTTATTCACAATAACCAAGAAGTGGAAACACCGCAAGTGTCTGTTGACTTATGAATAGATAAACAAAATGTAGTCTTTGCCTACCATGGAGTATTATTCAGCCTTAGAAAGGGAGGAAATCCTGTCTCATGCTGCAAGCATGGATGAACCTTGATAATCGTAACCTCCTTATGCTTCATGAAATCTGCCTTCTCAGAAAGACACAGGTTGTATGATTCCATTACATGAGGTATCTGGAGTCAGGCAGAGTCCTAGAAACGACAAGCAGAGAGAGGGGAGATCCGTTTTCAGCCGCGTGAATGTACTTAACACACTACTGAACTATCCACTTGTTCTAGAGGTGGTGTTTTTTATGTTTTGTGTTTTTATTACAATTAAAAATTTAAAAAAATCATTGTACAAGTAGAATCTAAAGATGGTACATTTTATGTTTGGTGTTTTTATCACAATTAAAAAAAAAAAGTCACAGCACAGATAGAACTGTTTGAAATTTTGCGCAGTCCTCAGGGCGTCAGATGCAAAGAACATGAAAAACAGAGTGAGCAGTCCTGGACGTTTCAGGAGGCAGAAGGGGTCCCACTTTGGCCTGGTTCAGGAGGTGTCCGGAAATGTGATTCAGCCGAGTGTTTCTTAGGTGCCTAGTGTTGGTGAATCTGTCCTGGGCAGTAGGGGGACTCCGCCTAGTCTCTGTCCTGAGAATTATACACAGCAGAGGGACTGGCAGCCAGGATGCTTTTTCTTGCTGTTTGTGGAGCTGAACAGCTGTGGGAAGAACTGACCTCAGGCCCTCGCCTCAGCATCGTCCTCGTGCAGGCTCCCCTTTGGTGGCAGAATGGCGGCCTGGAGCTCTAAGCTGACCTCCCTCCTACCAGGGAAAGGAGGGGTCTCCCTCACAGTTCCAGCCAAGAGTTGGCATAGAGTCTTTGAAGTTCTGCTTTGGGCAGCAGGGTCATCCTCGGATGAGTCGCTGTGAGCACAGGGTGCCTTTGTCAGAGGAAGGGGAGTGGGTGCTGAGCAGGCAGAGTTGTGTACCCCAGAGGACGAGATGTATACTAACGCCGGCTGTATTAGTGGAAGAGGAGACCATGTTCGCGGCCAAGGAGGTGGTGGCCAGCACTGGCTTCGAAGGAGGCAGGAGAGGCAGAGTCGGGGTAGAGATGAGGCAAATAAGCTTTCTTGGTGGGAGGCCCAAGTTTGAGTACCCTACCCTGCTACTCACCTTTGGGCAAATTCTGAACACGGAGCCACTTTCCTCATCCCTGAGGGGGAGAACGCTCCAGGAGCCACTCACAGGGCGGTCTGAAGGTGGAGGCGCCTGGTCTGTGCATCACCTGCTCTTACTGTTGCTGGGCTGTGATTGCGGTCCTCTGTATTCGGGGACCGTGCGACACGGTTACTGAGTCAGTGTGGGTCTCTGCTCGGCACCTTGTCATGGGTGCTGACCAGTAACGCGCTCCCCCGGCCTCTCCCCACAGAGGCGAGAAGTACGGCTTCATCACCTACCGGTGTTCTGAGCACGCGGCCCTGTGTCTGAGGAAGGGCGCTGCCCTGCGGAAGCGCCATGAGCCCTCCTTCCAGCTGAGCTGCGGGGGCCTCCCGCACTTCTGCCGACCCAGACACACTGACTATGGTAAGTGCACAAGGCCCTGCCACACTCCAGGAACACCTAAAGCCCCCTGTGGACCCAGCTCCCACACTAAAGTGTGCCGATGGGTAAAACTTCGCGGGCTGGAGGCTGCCATCTTGTTTTCCTTCTGGTCTCTGGTCGGTCTTATCATGTCTCAAGACTGGTACCAAGAGAGAGATTTAAGGCCCCTGTGGCCTCTTGGAAGGTCTGGTCTTACGTTCACAGCCAGCTGGCAGAACCAGATTAACTGTCTCTCTGACCTCCCAGGGCCTGTGGCCACCCTGCTGCTTTTCGGGGGCATTCCACGGTGGCCCCAACAGGCAGCAGACAGCCTTGTTGGTTCACGGGCCACAGTGAAATGATGTCGTCACCCCCACCCCTCACCACTGGGGGACGAGTTAGTGAAGAAGGACAGACACGGACTATTTAGGAGAGAACGCTCTGTAGAGGGGAATCTGACATAGCCTTCATAGCATGGGGTGAGGGTGAGGAAACGCAGAGGGCTCCTGGCCAGGCGGTGCTGCGCCTGGCTGCCCGTCCACGCACGTGGGACCTGGTTCCATCTCTGCACCATGAGGGCGTCCTAGCTTCGTAGGCCACCTTATGTGACTCGGGTAGTGGTCTCCTAGTGGGCAGGAAGCTCTTAGGGAAACAGATGTATAGGATATCGGAGCCAGAGAGGAGCTCTGGGGTGTGCTAGTTGGGGCCACCACGTTCTGGAAACAGGGCACCCCCGAGACACTGATGACCGGGCGGAGGGGTCCCAGTTGGCTGGCAGGGGGTAATGCTTGCTGTCTGGTGCTGTCTGAGGCGTCGGCCACTCACGCTCCCCGGGGCTGACGCTGGTGGCAGATCTTCTAACCGTCCGGCCTCTCTGAGTTGCTCACTGCCTTCCCCTCTCATTGACTCCTTCACCCCCTGCCCAGATTCCAATTCAGAAGAGGCCCTCCCTGCGTCCATGAAAAACAAGTACGAAGCCATGGATTTTGACAGCTTACTGAAGGAGGCCCAGCAGAGCCTGCATTGATAACAGCCTTAACCTTCGAGGAATACCTCAATACCTCAGACAAGGCCCTTCCAATATGTTTACGTTTTCAAAGAAATTAAGTATACGAGAAGGCCAGAGCGCGAGCGCGTGAGAGAGAGAGAGAGAGACTTGAAACTGCTGTCCTTTTAAAAAAAAAAAAACAAATCAATGTTTACATTGAACAAAGCTGCTTCTGTCTGTGAGTTTCCATGATGTTGACGTCCCACTGCCACTGTAGCGTCCTCGCTTCCGGCGGGCGGCCCCGGGCGTGCCTCCCAGTGCTGGATCAGTCCCCCACGTCCCTTATCTCCCTGACCGACTTCCCTCGTAGACGTGCAGCCGTGTTCACCATAACATTTCTTGTCCATAGTATGTGATGATGAAATTGTTACTCGTGAATAGAATCAGGATTATATGCTCATTTTTAATTGAAGAAAAAAAATATATCCTTCAAATAATGTATTTATGGCTCAGACGTACTGTGCCTGGGATTATTGTATTGCTTCCTTGATTTTTTAACTATGCACTGTTGTGAGGTGTTTGCCACTGAGCTGCTCTGCTTCCTCTGCCAGAAAGCTCTAGAGGTGCTGGGTGGCTGGTAGGTTGGTCCCCAGGGCAGTGTGGCCCGCAGCCACAACTCGGAGCAGTGGAGAGAGGCTTCTGAGACTTGCCTGCCAAGCTCTGCCCTGAGTCAAACTGAGTATGCACAGGTCCAGTTCCAGTCAGAACCCTCACTGGGCGCCAGCTGGTGCTCAGAACTTGGGCCCGGCCTGGAGTGCTGGGATCCTAGCAGACCTCATAAGGCAGGCGGGGTGAGCCTCCTGATCCTTGTTTTTCCAGGTGAGGCGGGCAGTGCCCCAAGAGGTGATGGGCCTTGCCTGAGGTCCCACAGCCAGTGACGAGGCAGAGCAGTGACCCAGCCTAGGCCTCCTGATGACTGATCCCATGCTGCTGCAGTAGCTTTGGGTAAAAAGGCACAGTTTCAGGGGCTGGTAGAGGTGAGGCCAGCTACGCTGAGCCACAGGCTAGAGGCCTCTGGGCTTACTTGGAGGGTTAAGTCAGCAGCTGGCTCCCCAGCATTAGGCAGGTTTAGGCTCAGTGTTCGTCTTGACCTAGAGGGTTCTGTGGTTTGCCTACACCTGTGGACATGCCACCAGAACTTTAGTGACACACCTGGAGTGGCACAGGCAGGTGATCAGGGAACAGTCATCCTTCTGGGGCCAGCCACGAACCCATCGTCCTTCTACCAGCTCATCTTTCCCATTCCTTCACCTGTAGGGGGGTTCGGGTAGCATGAGGCAGAGGGAGCGAGGCGGGGGCATGTGAGGACTGGGGGTGGATAAAACAATTGCCAAGGTCCTTTCCAGCTTAGACAACATTCTAATTGGGCTTTACTTTAAATTTTATGTTCTTGAGTGATGTCAAACCATGTCTAGCTGGGATGCTCTGCGGGTGCCTTGGGGGCCATTTGTGAGGGCAAGTGTGACCAGGGAGGGTATGAGCTTGTGACCGCTGCTTCAGAAAGAGCAGCTCCAACTTCATCTTGTTCAGATGTCAGGGTTCCTTGGGAAATTTTTGTATTAAAAAGAAAGAGAAAAGTTCTGCTTGCTTTAAACATGTTTGAAATTAACTCATTAAACTCAACAAGCTAATTCAGTGTGTTGCTCCTACCAGGCTTAGAACTTTGAGAATTGGTAGTTGATTATTACTGTTATTTTTAAAGTGATCAAATACCTGAGTAGTAATGCTGGGCCAGTGAGCATGTCCTGGGAGATGAGCATACTCCAAGCCCATGGAGAGGGCTGGAGGAAACGGGCTTTAGAAGGAATAGGGAATTTGAGCTCCCATATATCCCTCCTGGGCCCCAACTTCCTTTTCTGTGAAATGGACTGAGCGGGAGAAGTGGGCAAGTTGATCCCTAAGGTCCCTGCCAGCTCTTAGCTTCTGCAAAGATGGTATCTAGCTCAAGATGGCAAAAACATGACACATGTACCACTACTTCCACATCCTTGGCCAGTGGCAGGCATAACTAAACCACAGAACTCATGTTCTTTGAGCTTGAGAGTTCATTTAGAACTCTGAGCACAGTGCTCTGGACAGCCATTATTAATGGGCCAGAGTTTATCATTTGACATTCTGGTCTGATCTTTTGAGAGGTTTCCATCATACAGAACCAAATGGTGGCTGGGATTCATGCTGCCCATCCCTTTCTATCATGTCCTGATCTATGAGAGAAAATTTCCCTAAAGCCATTCACTGGCAGAGACTCCCAATAATACTGTGACACATAACCCCTACTTGAGTGTGGGGCACGGGGGAGCAAGCGGAATAGCAGATATGATATGTTTGAGGGAGGTGGGGTTTATGAGGATGAACCAAACAAAGGGACTTCCACAGCACAGACCTGAACATTGTAAATTCCTTTTATAGCTATTCACTGCCTAGCACACAGTAGGCATACAATAAATGGGTATGGAATGCACTACAGTAGAATTTAAATCTGCCTGCTGCCTCTCCTAAGTCCTAATTTGCACCGAGGAGTACACTGAGGGTTTGTCCTGTGGAAGCCAGTAGGAAGGAACTCCAGATTCAGAGTCTGGAGAGCTGCGTTGAGTTTTGGCTCCACCAAGAACTTTGTGACCTTGAGTCTTGCCTAAGTCACAGAATCCCACCCCCACTCCCCTCTGCTGCAGAAGGAGTTGGGCTAGAGGTTCTCTAAGCCCCTCCTACTTGCTTGTTCCTCGTTTGCCCTAAGTCAGAAATTCTCCCCTGGGCAGGTGGTATGGGAGGGTAAAGAAAGGCAGATTTTTAGTGGAAGACCAGTCTCTCCTCCCGTCTTCTGGGTCAGCTGAGGCTCCCCATCCACTTCAGATGAATACAGGGCACTCAAAGTTACTTAGCCCCTGCCCCTAGAGCAGAGCAGAGATCCAAGCTTGGCACCCGGTGGCACCATGCCTCAGGTCAGGGCTGGCTGCAGGGGGAGAGGATGCCGGCCGGCCGGCCAAGAGCACGAGGCACTTTCTGCTTGCTGTCCCATCCCTGCAAGGCTATAAGTTCAAAAACTGACCGAGCCTACAGACAACCTCTATCTGGAAGACTCAATTCGGTGCTGTGTATTACAACCAAGGAGACTCCAGGGTCTCTCCAGGAGAACCAGTACACCTTGGTCTGTTGCCCACCATATTAAGGAGGAACCCAGAGGGAGCAGCTGCCATTGGCAACCACCTCACTGTAGCTGTGTCCTAGTATTTGCTCTGGATGATGTTTACATGTGATTGCCATAAAAGCTTACTGTAGACTGTGTTGACAGCCGCCCAGGCTGTACTGTCCATCTCTGTGCTGTGCTGGTGTTTCCAGAAATGTCCGATCCAACCGCTAAGTGGAATTCTTCATCTCCTTCCTCAGTCAGTACCAGGCTGAATCAGAATCCTCACTCTTGGGGGTTCTGGTTACCGAAGGAAAATGCATCAAAGAGGTAAAGAATATGAGTGGATGGAGTGCAGAAAGCCCCACCTCCCACCACCCCCTTAGCCCATCACACCTTGCTCCCAATCCAGGAAACAGCTTTTGAGTCAAAGAGCCACGAGTCAGGTGTCTGCGTCTGCTGTGGGGCCTTGGAGTGTGGCGTGCTGACCGTGCTCGGGGGGGTGGGGGGGGCTTTGGGGGCGGGAGGAGGAAAGGGGGAGAGCTCTGAGCTGCAAACACTCGGTACCCACGTCCTGGTGTAGGAAGAGATGCACTTAGAAGTCTTTTCATTGCGTAGAACCTGTGCTGATGGAAGTTTTGAGAGCTGTTTCTTCCAGGCATATGCGGCCTGCCCGCTGAGGCCAGCGTGCAGGTGGTGAGAGGAGGTGGCACGGAAGGCCTTGATAATGTGGTCCTTGTGCAGGCATGGGGAGAACCTCACCCCAGGCCTTGGGTTCTGTTGAAATCTCAGCCTGAGAGAGACAGACCCCGGACGGTGGGTTGCTCTGACTCACAGAGTCAGAAACCTGTAGTATTTTTCTTAGCATCTGGAATGCAGTGGTTACCCTCAGATAGGACTAAGGAAAGGAATGGGATGCTGTACAAAAGCTAATAAAATGAACCTTATGGTTTTGTTGGCCAAAGAAGAGGGACCCCCTCACCCCTTCCCACTGGGGCAGAAAGCAAGCAGTTAGTGCTTCTGTGCAATATGTTGAAGCTGGGCCCCGAGTCCCCGGGGGGATTTGCCCACAGAGGTGGGCTCAGGGGCAGTGTGCAGAGTCCGGAGGTACAGGGTAAATGGAGGGGGAGCTCGGGGGCTGGAAAACCCACAGAAATGCCCTGGGCCCAAAACAGATGCTGGGTCGGGGGAGGACCCCCGGGAACCGGCCGAAGGATGCCAGGAAGTAGGCAGAGGCTGACTTTGCATTGAACCAATAAAAGCACCTTGAGAAACCACAACATTTCAGCCTGGCTCCGTGTTTCTACACTGGCAGATACGGGTTTCCTTCGGCTGTGTGAGGTACTCTTCTAGGGCTTGGGCTGGGGTCGGGAGGGGGGCCGGTCGGAGAAGGGAGCGGGATCCCTTCCTAAATAGTGGCAGAGTCGATCCTAGGGCTAGCCTGTTGCTGGCCCTTTGGGTGGAGGCCCTCGAGAAAGGGAACCATGAGTTTAGATCTCAGTACATATTTTTATGTACATATAAAAAGCTAAAAGAGCCCAGCTGATGGAAATGGGTTTACAGAGCAAGTCTCCTAACTATAAGCCATCTCAGTGAGAAACCTGACACTTCTCACTTGCTGTGTGATCTGGGGCCTCCTGTGTTCTCTCCACTAAGGAAGGAGAGCGTTGGACGGAATGAGCACCAGGGTCCCTTTCGAACTCCTGGGGTTCACACGCGGGAGCATCGGGAGTCCGTCACTTCCCTGTGAAACCGATCTCATCCTGGGGCTGCTTCCAGCTTCAGTCCCTGGCGAGAGTTCTCCCCGCAAGGTCACCAACCAGCAGCAGATTCAAACCCACGTGGTCCTGGCCGAGTTCCCTTGTATGAGGAGGCCAGCTCCCCAGGCCAGATCTAAGCCATAGTTTCTCATGGGGATGGTGAGAAGTTCGACCGCCGCTTGGCTAGGTGGCGGTTGCACATCTCACGTTAGCCTTGTCATCGTCCCCACAGAACAGCTTTTAATCCGAATGTTGTGACCGCTTGGCTGTTTCTCTCTCGCTCTCAGACGATACTAGCAATACACTTGTTTTTTTTTTCACAACAGCTTCACTTAGGCACTTTTCACACATTTCCTTCAAATGATTGTAAAACCTATGGGGCAACAGGAGGCACTGATCACGCTGCATATGTTTAGGGCAGCTTTTGCTTTTTGTTTCTTTAATAATCCAGCTGTGCTGGCCGAGGCTTTGAGGTCTCAGGGGACAGATTTTCAGATATTCCGGTTCTTCAGATGATGCCTTGCAGATTTTGGAAGCAGATAGAAACCCAGCTCCACAAGCCAGGGGCTTGGAGAATACGTTTTTGTAGGTGGTCCATCCCTGGTCAGAGCAATGCCTCAAAGACATGTTTTTATAGCTAAACCCCCTTTGTGCTGTATATTTTGTCAAAGGATCCTGCAAGGAACCCCAACAGAGCCTCCTTTCCCACTTGGCCAGCCTTGCCCCTGCGTGTCTTGTGAAAGGATTGGTCAGCGTCCGCCTCAGCACTTTGCCTTATCAACGTCTGGTCGCCCTCTAGTGGCCAAAGACTGTATCCACCAGCTACCCAGATGGAAGGCAAATAAACCCTTTGGCCACCTTGCTGACCAGCACCAGTTTGGGGAATTAAATGTCATGGCCTGAGTGAACTGTCTGTGTGCTTAGGATCTGGTGTAACACCAGTCAGAAGACTCCAGAAGCAACCAGTTAGTAGACTTGCATAGACTGAGAAGCACACTAATTACCCTGTGGGCAGAGGAGACAGGAGTGGACCCTGTGTCCAGGTGCCCAGGAGGGGTTTACTGTAACCGCAATACTAGCAGCCCAGCTGCTGACCTTGTTAAGTGAACCTCTGGTAGGTGGCCCGCACTGTACCCTCAGGGTGAGCAAAGAGGTTAGGTGTGAGGATTCTGGGGCCAGGGATTGGGGGAGGGGCCTGGCCATGGCCTTTGATGTGATCCACTGAATAGCCAAACAGGTGTTTTTTGTTTTGTTTTTTTTTTTTTCCTTTTGGTTTGGTTTTGTATTTTGTATTGAAAAATGTTGTCAAATGTTTTTGTGTTAGGAATAAAAAGTCATAAACTCTTCCCAACTTTGTTTCTTGAGGGGCGTTCTGAGTCCGATGGAAACAGGTTGGAGATCTCAAGGGGAGTGTGGTCAGTGGAACAGGGAGGCGGACTGCCTGAATTTCCAGATGGTCTCTGGGGAAGACGACCATGCAGAAGTCCGCCTCAGTGCAGCCTGCTCTGGGAATTCACGCCCGCCTCCTTGTGCCATGGTATTAGCATTGGCTTCGAGGACCTGTGTCCTCCGGGGGCGGCTGCTAAGGTTGGAACCAACACAAGACCCCTCTCTCCAACCCCAGGTTTCTAAAGAGACGGTGTCTGTAGCTAGCCTTAATCGACTGGGCGAGGTGGTCCCTGTGGTCCCTTCCAGCATTTCCAAATCTTGGACTCAAATCCTTTTCTCTTGGTGTGACCATGCAGCCTAGAGAATTCTGAGCAATAGGAAGCCAGGGCTTTCCCCAGCTCTGGGACAGGGTCAAACCAGGGAATGGCTAAACTTGTTAGGTTTGGGCATCCCCAGGGGTACTACTGTAGGGGGCATTATTTATTGGGAAGCTCAACAAGGTAACTACAGCCTGGGGTGCATGAGCGCAAGGCTGTGTGTGTGTATGCCTGTGTGTGGGTGTGTGTGTGCGTGTGCACGTGTGTCTGCTCGTGTGCGTGCCTGTGTTTGTGTGTATGTGTGGAATTACATTGATGCATTTCTTGAGAAAGGTGCAAGAATTTCACCTACACAGAGGGACACATCTGCTTTGTTATTTATAATAGAAAGCTAAATTTTAATTTTTTAAAGGACACTGCTAATGATTGAGAATCGAGTTTTTAGTTTTGCTATTTTTTTTAATTGGTAGAGGATTTTTATATATTTTTTCCATTTTGTTGGGTTGTGTCCTTATTTATATAAATACTTTATCTGTAACAGGCAAGGAAGACACCTTCTTTGCTTTTAATTATTGTGGTTGTCATCGTCCCTATTTTATTTCTGGTGTGATTTATCTGTCTTACCTTCTAAATGAGAAACCGTTTTCCTGTATTTGTACATTGTCAGATTCTATAGTTTCATAGATAATTTAACCAAATTGCTCTATGTATTATTATTCCGTGAGTATAAAGTTCTATTTTAACGTCTGTAAATACTTCAGAACTGGCTTCTTTCCTCAGACTCCTACTGTGGGGTTATTGTTTACATCACAAAAACTGTAGAATCTCTATGCTCATGTACTGTAAATAGTGAAGTGATCTGCTTATAAATAAACTTAACAAATACACTATGGAGATTAAAAAAGAAAATACCACCCACAGCCCTATCCTGGTGTGTCTTTATTTGTCGATGTGTTTGCTGAGGGACACCCTGCCCACTAAGTGGGAAAAGGATTCCGGTTTTGGGCTCAATTTCCCGGAGAAAAGCCTGGTCCAGGTGGGCCCTGCAGCAGCCCCCCACCCTGGCCCTTCCTTCCTTCTGTCACATTGCATGGAGATCATGAACCAGTCGGGTGGAGCAGCCGTTCATGACCAGCTTCTCGTTATGACTTTTCGAAAATTCTCTCGCTTTCTGCACAAGGACTTCCTTGTCTGGCTACGTCGCCTTTTTCACATGAGCGCACTAAATAAACATGCGGAAAGTGATATTTTGACGTTTTCAAGCAAAAACACTCAGCAACTGACAACTGCAAAACAGTTTCTGGTCCTCCAAAAAAAAAAAAAAACCCACACACACAAAAAAAACGTTTTTGGCCAGAGGATCTGAAGAACAGACCTGAACT